CACCAGGATGCCACCAAATCCCTATAGGATCATGACATCCTTTGTTATTTTTCTCTAACAACAAGAAGTGAGTGACAGGAAAGCAAACTCCTGTCTTCTTTCTCCTCACTCAGGCTTTTAAATAACTTAAAGTTGATTTCCTTTTCTTTTAAAAAAAATCCTATTTTTTTATTTTAGTTTGTTTTATGTGTATATTGCCTGCATGCATGTAAGTGCACTCATGTCATGCAATGCCCATGGAGGTTAGAAGAGGGCATCGGATCCCCTGGCACTGGAGTTACAGATGGTTGTTAGCCCTCCATGTGGGTGTTAGGAATAGAACCTGAGTCCTCTGCAAGAGCAGCCAATGCTGTTAACTACTGAGCCATCACTCCATCCCTGATTTCCTTTTCTAGTGCTAGTCAAGGAGCCTTTTTTTACAGTTTGCATATCTATATATGTGCAAAGATTTGCTCCCATGAGCTTCAACCCAAGAAGTGTCCAGCATGTTGGCAGACTTCCCTGCACTGATATTTACATGCACGACTGGGACTATTGTTCACAAGAATCAATATAAATAGCAGATAAGCTGAAGTTCAAGGAAAAAATGCTACTTCTCAAGAGTTCATTTGGTTCTTTTTCTCCCTTATGCTACAAGCATATCTGTCATATATGTTTGACGTTCGCTACTTTAATATTCCCTTCCTTTGAAAACCTCCTACGGGTCCTTGAGAAAGGTCAGAACCAGGAACACCTACATCCATGGAGGCTGAGGACCTTTGCAAAAACTAAGGACAAATAACAAGCTGCTCCCATGGGCTTCTCCTAGGTAGAGCTGCCCAAGGAAACAACACGGCCCATGGGGATTCTCTGTGCCATTTTAAAGAGCCACAAACCCCAGGTAGACAAATGAGTAGCTAGCATTGGTAAGAAGTGAGAGAATTAAGGATGTGTACTTGAACTTCCCCTTTGGAGTTATAGCTGCAGCTTGAAGTCAAGGTATAGCTGGCAATCTTGGGATCTCTAAGAGAAAACAGGTCAAAACAAGCTGGAAGCTGAATACAGAATAACCTCCTCATACATACATATTTGAGGTATCAAGTGTTTCCATTAGGTGTACAAGGGGGATACCCACAAATCCATGTGTTTTGATAAGACTGAACACCCCAGAGAGAGGGTAGTTACAAAGGATCTAATATCTGAATTCACATTGAATTTCTACCACTGTAACCATTGAACACTATGCATATGCCTTGTAAAAGATAGTGACTTTGAAAAGTATTGGTATTTTTCTGATTCTAAACAAGCGTTTTGGAAAAAATAACCATTCTATGTTCTTGGAATTTCACTATAAATTCCTGCATGAAAGGAAAGAGGTTACCTTCAGTGTATATCCCGTAAGAAGCTTCAAAATACATACTGCTGGGCACTGCAGCAATGGCTCAATGGTTAAGAGCACTGGCTGCTCTTGCACAGGATCCAGGTTAAGTTCCCAGCACCCACATGGTGGCTAACATCTGTAACTCCAGTTCCAGGGGATCTGATGCCCATTTCTGGCTTCCATAGGCATTGCATGACATGGGTACACTTACATACATGCAGGCAAAACACTCATACACATAAAATAAAAAATAAATAAACAAAAATACACACTGTCCAGTCAACAGAACATAAACCACTACCCAAGTGACTGAAATAAAGCAGAGTCATGGCAGCTATAGCCAAGAAGACAGCTCTCAGTTCAGTTGCATACAGACATATCCAAGTCATTCTAGATGATCCCTGCTTGTGCTGGAATAATTTCCACAGCTGGCATCAAAGAACTCTCAAGTGAATTTCCCCAGCATGCTATTGAAGAACTCAACTGGGGTTGCACCTTCCCTCAGCACCCTTACCCCACCTACATGCAGCCTGTATCTACCACAGATATTCGGATTCCGATTCTAATATGATTTCCTCAAACCTATCCTCAACGAATTCATGACAAGAGAGACAAAAGCATCTTGGACTCAATAGGAACCACAATTCAGTAATAATAAAATTTACATTTAAGGAAAACTGAAATTTAATTATTTTAGAAGTACACCTAATATACCTAGCATTTTTTAGGCTTGAAGAAAGGGAAGTTATCCAATTTACAACTTTCAATTACCCTGAGAGATTGTACTACATAAAATGTACCTCAAGGCTTTTTTTTAAAAAAAAAAAATGTGTATACGTGTATTGCCTGCATGTAGGTCAGTGCACCCATGTCGTGCAATGCCCACGGAGGTCAGAAGAGGCTGTCGGATCCCCTGGAACTGGAGTTACAGACAGTTGTTAGCTGCCATGTGGGTGTTGGGATTCAAACCCGGGTGTTCTGCAAGAACAACCAGTGCTCTTAACCGCTGAGCCATCTCTCCAGCTCCATAAGGCTTATTTTTTACAGTTATCTACCTGAATTTCTACTTTCCTCACTGAGGACTTTTAACAACATTTCACTGAACTCTTGGTTTCACACTTTCCTACAAGCAACAACTGCCAAACCTCCCCAACCCTCTTTTCAAACCCCAAGAGAAATTTTGCTTCAGGACTAGCTGAAGCAAAATTTTTTAGCATCAAAGCCCTAGCTACTTCTATAAGTCTACCCCTTTCTGTAAGAGTCATCCACTGAGAACAAAATCTTTTCTTCAAACGGGAGACTAAGATTCCCCTCAGGACTTGCTTTCTCCTGGTTTCCCCAGTACCACCAGTATTCAGCAAATTTCCTTCTAGACACACAACTGAGTAAACCTATTCTCTTGTAGTTGTCAAGCCTGCCCAATCTAGGGGCAATCTACATTCCAACTACCTTCAGTACCTTCTTAGAAAGCTACCCGGCCCAATGTACTCATTTAACAAGAAACAAAATCCTTCTAGGAAACATAGTCCAGTGGAACTGAAACAAGCTGCTCTCTTCAAAAATCCATGTAAAAAATAACCCTTGAAAACTACCAACTGCCAATAGCTCCTCAGTAAAGGGGGATGGGGGGTGATAAGAGATTATCTAACCCATCTACGCAGGAATTTTAGCTGGCTTGCTCTTGTGCAGGTAACCCAACTACTGTGAGTTCATGAGTACAATAGCCATGTCATGCCCAGAAGACAGCATTTCACAGCACTCCTCCCCATCCTCCAGCTCTTACATTCTTTCTACCTCCTTTTCTGCAATGCCCTATGGTCCTTGACAAGGAAAAGGGAGGTTTTTAGAAATGTCTTGTTTAGGTCTAAGCACTTAGTCTCATTTTCAGCACTTTAAGCAGTTATGCATCTCTCTGTTGACTGCTGCCCACTACAAAAAGAAACTTCTTAGACCAAGGTGAAGAGCAGCCTAGGTCTATGGGTATATTTGGAACACACTCTGACAACATGACCATTTAGCAAAATGACAATAGCAGACTCTAGAGCCCATGACCTCTCCTAGCCATGGGCTTTTGACCAGAATTACAATACCAGGCATGAAATCCCCCCCTGCGGAATTAGTTACCCCATAACAATTGTGCCACTACTGCACTGATGGGCATGTCTTACCTAGCAGGTTAGTATTACATCATACAGGGTCCAGTGCGGAGTAAAGACCACTGATGTTTTTCCCCCTAGCAGCCTGCATGCTGCGTAGGCTATGCAGGCTATGAAAGTTATCCAGAAGAGAGGACAACAGACTTTTAAATCTACAGAATTCAGCTATTTTCAACCTCAAAGTGTTCTGGGCAGACTGAAATACAGTCAGGATCAGCTGGAGGCTCTAGGAGCAGCACAGGTAGAAAGGAGTCTGGAGCCTTGCTTCCTCTTACATTCTTGTGGAACCCCTCGTGGCTCTGGGAGTACGTTTTGAATGCTATTAATCTAGGTCAAATCCTCTGGTTCATATTTGGAAGGAATGGAGACCCAAAGAGATTAAGTTATTTGCTGAAGCTGCACATCTATTTAGCAGTACAGGAAAGACAGACTCAGGCCTCCCACCACACAATCAGTTCTGTGCTATTGTTTTCAATGAAAACGTGAGACAGCTTTGATAATGGGCTTTCGTTTACCCCCCCCAAAAAAAATCAAGAGTGTTTTTAAGCTATGAGGCCCGTTTGTCTAGATTCAAATCTCCCTGTAAGCAACCTTGCGCTTTGGAGGCAAATTCTTTGACTCTGCTCCCTGAGACCCCATGGGGTGCCACCTTTGGATGTGTGAGAGGTTGGAGGAGAGATGTGCTGGGAATAGAGAAGGGAGGCAGGTTCTGGAGCTGCTTCTCTCCTCTTAGCTGGAGGTGGGGCCAAAGTATTATTCCCCAAAGAAGCTATTTAATAATAGAGGCTGGATCTGCTCTGCCAGCCTACATATTTTCCCCTGCATCTCACACTGTTAAACTCCCACAAAGCACATCCTGAGCCACAAGGCTTCATAAGCAATCCCTGGGAAGGCTAACCCTTGCTTGTTTCACTCAAAACTGATGCCATCAGCAAAATACCAGTGTGCTTTTGAGCTGACACTATGGTTGATCAAGCCTTCCCCTCTGTTGTCCAGTTGGGAAGAAGGAGGGAACTTAATCGATGTTTCCATGGTGCTCTGCACTTCAGGACTCCGCAGTCCACTCCTTTGCCCCATTTTTTTTCTTCCAACTTGAACTTCTGGCAGTTTTGCAGTGGGATTTTGGCAGAAGGGGAGGGTAGGAGAGACAGGCCTCTGAGTTCACAGTGCAGTAACTTACTTTAGCTCCTTTATCTAAGTAGCTTCCTGGTCTATCTGAGTCATGGTCACTTCCCCCTGCCTGTCACTGATAGTGCCCTTGCCAGCTACCCTCATGGTGTTCCCATCAGCAGGCCTTGGCCTTATCCAGTCTAAGAGGAATAAACTGAACCAAATTAGAACCTATGCTTCCTATTCGAGAAAACCGAAGCCACATTTTGTTTCTATCATTACCATTCCCCAAAGCACAGACACAAATTGCAGCAGTTCAAGACTATTTGTGAAATATGCTGTTATCATAAAACCCACAATGTCCATCTTTTCAGGAAGAAAATGAGATCCCTGCCAGTGTGTTTGTGAAAGAGCCGGTTTCCAGCCCCGGGGAAGGGAAAGAGGAGCTTGCCGATGAGAACAAGTCCCTGGACGAAACACTACACACTGTGGACCTCTCTTCGGAGGACGAATTGCCTGGTGATGAGGTAGCCCCAGAAGATAGTGCAGAAGAGAAGATGGAAGAAAGCAGGGCAGAGAAAATAAAGAGATCCAGCCTCAAGAAAGTGGATAGCCTCAAGAAAGCATTTTCTCGCCAGAACATTGAGAAAAAGATGAACAAGCTGGGGACAAAGATCGTATCTGTTGAGAGGAGAGAAAAGATTAAGAAATCGCTCACATCCAATCAGAAAACATCATCAGGGAAAAGCTCCCCCTTCAAGGTTTCTCCCCTCACTTTTGGTCGGAAGAAAGTCCGAGAGGGAGAAAGCCCTGTGGAAAACGAGACCAAGTCAGAAGACCAGATGCCGAATGACCACGAGGAGAGTTCCTTCGCAGAGGGTCTTTCTGAGGCATCACTCCCCAGCGGCCTGGCAGAGGCCAGCACAGAAGATGCTGAGAACGCCTTGGGAGGGAGCAACTCTGGCATGAACAGCAACGTCGACCTGACCATCGTGGAGGATGAAGAGGAGGAATCGGTGGCGCTGGAGCAAGCACAGCATGTGAGCTATGAGGGTGGTTACATGCTCAACTCCCAAGACATGGAACGGTCCAGTGAAGAACCAGTGCAGCCCGCTGTGCTCCACGTGGACCAGACCGCTTGAGCACACCGCCAGAGTGCTGGACCAGCCATAGAACCCCACGTTGAGGAACCTGCGTCCTGGACACCACCTCGGGGCCTCTCCAGTTCTGCCCACTCCCCACTGTGACTGTCCAGGCAGTCATCACTGGTCACACAGTAGCCTCAGACATACATGAGATCGAAGAAGCAACCTGCCAGGGATGCCATGTTTAATTGGCTCTTAATTCTCTTTCTGTAGAATTTTTCTAAGATTGTCAGAGGAAGAAACAAATTAGCTGAAAAACATTGGTCCATTTGGTTTAGTCAGAAAAACTAGAGGATACTGAAGAAATTAGTCAAGCAGTGTGATTTAGGTTTGGTTATTCTACCAGCTTGCTGGATAGTGTATCAGTAATATAGCGGTTTTACAGTAATCTTGTGAATGATTATTCTTCAAGTGTGTGATACAGAATATATATATATATATATATATATATGTGTGTGTGTGTGTGTATGTGTAAGGTAAAGACATAACTACGTATTTTAAGAAGAAAACATTGACAACAGGTAGAAGAGAATGTTAAGTTGGTTATTCACTTAGTAGAAACCATTTTTATTCCAAGTTGGGGGTGGGTGATTGAAAGGCTACTGTAGCTAATAGCATGAATGCTATTAGCATAGAAAATTAAAGTGATAATGTTAGAAAATGAAAGAAACGGGAAACAGAGATGCCAAAGAGAAGGAAGACAAAGAGAAGAAAGTATCTGCTTAAAAGTGAAACCTTCACATTATTAATCTTGCCTATCGCACTCTTTAAATAGCAAGACTAAAGACGTTCACACATCCTGCACGCCTAGGCTTTATCTTCACAATATTTTCATAGTCTAAATTTCCAAATAATATAGCCACCATATTGTATTAAAGCTTTTTTTTCTTAATAAAAGCAGGACACATTTTTCTGTGAAGAAGTTCAGAAGGATATTGCCTCTTTAACAGTAGAATAAATGTAAGTCTGACTGGAAGGTCAATCATACTATTCTTTAATACAATTTGAAATAACCTTTACACTCCAAATACGATGTAGGTTTATAAGGTGTTCAAATTTACATGTTTAGGAAGGGTAGGATGATTTTTTTTCCTTTTTGTACATAATGGTAATTTCAGATCATATTTTATTTATACATTAATTTCACAGAATAATAATGTGTTTTTTAACTTCTTAAAGCATGCTAGTATTTTATATTGTGTATATATTCACTCAGATGGCAAATTTTACTGCTGCCTAACACACTAAAAAAATTTGCTTTATTTTTCATTACAAGATGCTAATGTTTTGTTAAATTGTACTTTAAAGATAGTGGACCCAGGGCTCAAATTCTCTTTTCGTATGCACCACTATTAGTAATCTTCAAAACAGAAATAATCCAAGACAGCATTAACCAACTGTGTTCTCTGTCTTTAAGTAAAGGGATTAAACTAACAAGCGGATTGATGGCATGGCCTATTCAGCTATGTCCTTATTTTGCAATAAATGTAACCCCAAATACTGAATTGTTGAACTAACAACATCTGTGTTAAAGAAGATTAAATAAACCAAAAGATGATAAGAATATAACAGTGTCAGTTTGTTTGGTAGAACAATTTTACAAGCAGAAGGAATTGATTTTTAAATGTTCCTCCAAATGCAGTGGTAATGTTGACTGTTTCAGTCTTGATTTCTCCTATTAACTCTGCTTTCTTTTTACCCAAGACTCATTTAGTAATCCAACTCTCATTCTTCAAGTTTAACTTTCTTGACATCACCTTGCCAGCTCTGGATAGCATCTGAATTATTGCAACAGCTTGATGAATTTGATAGTTCCACCTGTGTTTGATTGTACCAGATCTTATAACACCTTCAATAGTCTTGCAAGCATGAATCTATTGAACTATATATTCAGATTATTTTCTCAGATACAGATTATTCAGATTATTTGTCTGCTGGAGTGCCATACACTATATAGATTTTTTTTCACCTTGAACCTGAAGCAAGCTTGGTGCACCTTTACCTTTCTGTCACTAAAGCATTCATGTATCCATGGGGCAATGTAATGGTTTTGCCTCTCTTTGCAAAAATAAAAACATTTTTCCCTTGCTGGGCATGGTGGCACATGCCTTTAATCCCAGCACTTGGGAGGCAGAGGCAGGTGAATTTCTGTGAGTTTGAGGCCAGCCTGGTCTATATGGTGAATTCCAGGCCAGCTGCAGTGACGGGGAGACTGTCTCAAAAAACAAACAACAACGACAACAACAACAAAACTTTCCCCATTTTTTCCCATTTATTCCTACACACTAGCTGCTTGTCAGCAGGAAACTACACACAAGCATCTTTTTAAGTTTTATTGACAATCACATTTATTCTTTGCTCCCCATTCAAAGCATTAAAATCCCAAACAATAAAACAGAGAATTAGGCCAGATAATTGTTGGGAAACACATACTGTAGGGACTAGAGAGAGCAGCAGTTGTAGAGAAGGAAGCTATTTGTTCTGTGTTATTGTTGAATTATTTGCATACTGGTGAGGCTGTGAAGTCCCAGAATTAGATACGTCTTCCTCCCACCCATCCAATAAACCACTTCTAACTTTATGTGCTGAGAGCTCAAGAACTCGATTAGCATTCTCCAAATATCAGTTACCCATTAATAAGGACTGATATCTGTATCTTAGAAACAATTCAGGAGTAAGAAAAATCCATTACGTGGATCACAAATTTCACAAAAATATAGCAAAAATGTCATTTGTACAAGATTTATTTCTTTTGACTACATATATATTTCAACAGAAATTTTTTTCCTCTTTCCACTTAGGAATCCAGTTTATGGATGAATTATCAGCTCCTGTTATACATAAAAGTAAAAACAGACTGATGTTAAAACCCAAGACTTTGCAATGCTTATTTTATGTTGCAAGCCTCTGCTTTTAGCAGTGTCCATCCAGAAGAATGAAGTTTGGGCTTCCTGTGATTCTGTACACTATCAGAAAACCAGAGGCTCTGTCACAGCTGAGCTGCCAGTGCTAAGTAAAGGTTATAATGAAAGTCATTTCCTACATTAAGACACTAATGCCTGAGCCCAGTTAATTCCTGCTCCAAAGTTTGTTTACTGCCCTACAGCCCAAATCTAAGTGATTTTATATTGGAGATTGGGAGTATGAAGAATGGAGGAACAGGCAGCAATCATTATTAACAGTTCCATAGCAACCACAAGTCTTTCCCTAAAACCCAAGACTCCGACAGTGGAAAACAAGTTGCCGATGAAATTGGCATTGCGACCTTTGTATTCTGCTTGATCCGGGTGTCCAGATAAAGAATTCTGCAGCCAGCAGCGCATTCCTAAAGGGAACTGGCAGAAAACTCGCACCATTAAAGATACTGTCTTGTTTTTTGTTTTAACCATTGCATTATCCTGCAGTATTTGAAACTCTAAAATTATTTTTAACTCTACATACAAACTGCCCCAATTAAGAAGTCACACCTTTAGCAAAACAGCTTGATGTTCATGTATTTATACATTTTCCACTGCAAAAATCAATTTGTTAAATATTTATAGAGCAAAGCAACCTTTACTCCTTTCCATTTGCTAAAATTCTTAGTGCTTAATGCAGTAAGACACAAGCATGAAGGAAAGGGACAGTAATTTCTATAGTTCCCTTAACTCAGAGCTGAATACTCTAATATATAGCAATTCTATGTATCTGGTCCAAGAACTATCTCGCTTTTTCAGAATCCTATTGGGAAGTTATTGGTTTTTCTTCCATTTTAATAGAGTAAGACCCCCAGCCTTTTGTAGTTAATTTACTCCAACTGGTAAGATGAAGGGGAGGAACTCCAGAGGCTTTAACTATTCATCATGTTCTAATTTAAATACATAGATACTGTCTCTCTCAGTGTCTGTGGAGATCAGTTTCAGACACTTCATCTTGTGGATACCAAAATACAAGAATGTTATAAAATGGCATAGTACTTGCATATAACTTATGTGTGTCCTCCCTTATACTTTACCTCTAGGTTATGATTACCTAATGCAATACACAAAGTTTTTAAATATTTATTTTTATTTACATGTATGTGTATGTGCCCACATGTGTTTATGTGTACCACATGTGTGCAGGTGCTCTCAAAGAACAAAGGACACAATGGAGGCCAGAAGGCATCAGATCCCCTGGAATTGGGAGTTACAGTGGTTGTAAGTTGTCTGATATGGTTGCTGGGAACAGGCCTGGGCCTCTGCAAAAAGAGTAAGCACTCTTAACTGCTGATTCATCTCTCCAGCCCTGAAAATGGACACAATTCATATAAATAATTATGTTTCATTGTTCATGAAATAAAGACAAGGGAAGAAAAAAGGTCTGAACATTTTAATACAGATGCATTTTTTCTGATCTTCTTCAGTCAGTGGTTGAACCCGTAGATGCAGAACCTTGGATACAGAAGGCTGAATACTTTTTGAGGGTTATAGTTATGTGACTTCCCCAAGTTCATATAACTAGTAAATAGTGCCAGTGCTCAATCGCATTCTGAAATCCATACTGCCAAAACAGACTCCTACTTATTAGATGACTCTGCTTGTTTATGTGTTGCTTTATAAGCTCTCAGATGGTATAACATTAACTTCATTTTATATCTCCTTATGCAGCATCACATATAGCTGCACTTCATAAATGATTTTGATGACTGTCATTCGAACATTCAAAAAAATATATAGTTCATGGTTTTTGTAGAGCCACAGAGGAAACTATTTTCAGGTTTGCTAAGGCCACCCAGGAGCTCCTTAGGTTCTCAGTATCATCCATTATCAGGGGCTGCAGGGTTCACTTTGGGGCAGGGTTTAATAAGAGCAAGCTGTCAACAGAGATAGATCTTGGAGGTTGCTCATTCAAAGATGGTTCATGAGGTCTGCCTCAAACTCTTTATGTTACAGGAATCACATCTCTCTGTCATTCGCAAGAAATTGCTATATTCTACTCAGACACCTCCTCTCATAGGCTGACAAAAAGATCAACTGTAAAATCAGCACAGGATAGGAAGGAGAGATGTGGAAGTCAGGTGAACCATGAGATTATGCAGCCCTCCTGATGAATATAATTTCGGTACAAACTTTAAGCCTTTTTCTTAAGAGAAACAGGAGCTAGGTCAGACAAATGCTTGAGCCTCCATCTCTACAGGCAAGAAATCAAAGAAACCCCTCTAGACCAGCCCTCATTCATCAAGATATATGCTGCAGGCAGCAACTCCTTCCAAAGACTCTGGCAGTGGTCACAAGCTTAAATGTCTGCAGGGCTCAGACAAGAGTAAAATGGCTTAAGCCACTGGTAGTAACTGTGGTGAATCTTTTACATGTGGGCTTTCTGATGGGGCAAGCTTACAGCCCATGAGCCAGGAGGCATGCCTTTTTCTCATTCTCACAAAGGGCAGGTATTATCTAGAAGCCACAGCAATACCCAACTCCAGTTGCCATGTGAGAAATCAAGTCCAGTGATACCAAAATATAGGCTTCTCTTAGAAAAAGTTCAAATTCAGATTTGCTTTTAACATGAAAATTCCCCTGGCTTTTAATTTTTGGCAAATAGTTCAAATCTTTTTTAAGTGATTGCTTATTGTGCAAGCCAAATATCAATATTTGCTGGCTGGATGTGGTTCAGGCACAGACCATCAGTCTGACTCTGGACTGCAATGGATGAAGGCCCCAGGGTTCTCCTTGTTCTCCCAGAGACCATAAACATCAGAACAGAAAGCTAGCAATAGCATCAGATTTGCCTTAAGAGAACAAAATCCTTAGGGAACATAAAATACAAAAATCTTCCTGACAGCGCTTATAAGAACTTTCCTTCTTGATGCTTACCAGATTTGTTCAAAGATTGCTGTTATTGCTACATAGATGGCGTGATAAGGAAGGAGCAACCAATCACAGAGAAAGACAACTATGCTCATTCATGAGAAGGCATCATTCCTTGTCACTAACATTACTAGTCATGTCTGGGTTACCCAAAGCACCCCGAGTGTCAAAGAAATTGGTAGTCTTGGTTCACTAAACATATGAAGTTTCTCTTCCAGTTCTGTGTCTCAGTTGAAAAAACACCTGTTTTTGTCAATAGCTTAGAGACTGTATAGATGACAAAAGTAAGTCTGCATTCTGCTGTCATATGTCATGGAGAAATTTTCAGCCAACATTTGTTCTTCGACTCTTCATCGTTGATAATTAGGTACAGAAGGAAAAGAACACGGCTCAATTTTTTTTGGATGCTAAATTGAGCCTTCAGAACTCAGAGTTGGAGAAACCGATACAGATTTAGCACAGGGTCATGATGTCCTTTGTTAAGGAGAAACTTTTCATGCTTGCAACCACTTGTAGTTCTAAGGAAGCAAGGGGATTAGCTGGGTCTCTGAGGGCTACTGCATATTAATTATCTTTATAACCCTAAGGATGTACAGGGAAATGCAGCATATTCTAGTGAATAAGCCCTTACTTGGGAAATTTAATTTCCCAGGGCTTTAAATCAATCATTTTAAGTCTCTACATAGAAAAAAAAAATAGTCCCCACCCCCAGGACTTACAGAGATAAGCAGTGTCACAGTTTGAAAGATTGCCCCTGAAATTAACCACCGAAAGGGAAAGGAAGCACCTTGGGTATTATTTAGTTCACTGTTGGAATATGAAATGTCCCCATGTGTTGAGGGTTTAGATCTCAACTGATAGTGCTATTTGGGGAGGTGGTGGAAATTTTAGGAGGCAGGGCCTTGCAGGAGGAAGTAAGGCACTGGTGGCATGCCTCAGAAGTTATCTCTGGTCCCCAGTCCCTTCCTGGCTCTCACATCCTGTCCACCATAAAGTGAGTAGACTCTAACACATGCTTCTGGGCCCATTATGTTCTGCTTCACCCAGGGTCCAGATCAGAGAAGCCAAGGACTAAAGACTAAAACTTCAAATGTGAACCAAAATAAATAACTCCTCACTTGTTTATGTCAATTATTTGGAAGGGTCGAGTATCCAGGATCTTTTTCTAATCCTAGCCAAATGGCTGGAGCCCTCGAGGAATGATCACTTCCTTAAAGGTTCCAGCT